AATCTAAACGCGTTGCTTGCGTATGCGAACCGTGTCATTATATCATTACGCGCCTAGTCGTGCGCGCGCTGTGATGGAGCTTTTCAAGCGTACAATATCGTGCAAAAAACTCTCTCGTTAGTTAGACTTCCGAGGCAGCGGTAAAAAAAGGAGAAAAAAAGAGAGAGAAGGGAAGAAGAAAATTGCCCAACGTGGACAGAAAATTATTTATTAGCATATATTCTTGCTCGTTCTTTTTTCATCAGTCAGTGTTCCCCGGTTAATGAAATCCAAACACGCTCGTCACTCGTACGCAACGTCGTTATTTAAAAAACGAGTACATAGCCAGTGTCTTTAAGGTAGCGGGCCATGTATGTATGTACCTACGTAAGCGAGAGAGACCTCGCGTGTGTTAGCGAGCGAAAAGAAGATCGACGGCGATTTAAAAAAGTGACAAACAGCTGGGAAAGGAGAAAGTCTGTTTGCAGTTCCGAGGAAAATTCTAATTTATCATATCGCGGCTGCTGATTTCGAACGGTGGCAACGTGTCAGGCTGTTGTTCAAAATGAATAGGGAGTAATAAGTGCTTTCGGTCTTTGCGATCGGAACTTCTATGCGTTTAATAACTCCGAGGATCGAATTAAATTTGTATATTTCGCGAGTCAATTTTGTGGCTTTGACTGATGAAATTGGCTCCTTAACTTGATCATTATTCGCTCACTTTGTGAATGAAAGTTTCACTCGGAACTCTTCGATGGTTTTCTTGACGACGTAATTACACCTAATTACCAAGAAGAAAGTGCAAATCCGTATAATTTGTTCAGCCTGTTACACCATTGATATTCCACAAAACGACGAAGTAATCTCGAGTATTCGCTATAGTCAATTTTATTACTTACGAAGTGGAAATTAGCCTCTGTTTGATCATTATTTTATAACGAATAACTCACATACTTTGTCTCGACTGTTGTCGATCCTGTTCCTCTGCCTTGGGCGCGAAGGACCACCCACTGTTGTGGTAAATGATTGAATGCCACGTATCTTGCCCTGAGTTTATTGTCTGATAAGCCTGATGACTTACAACACGTGATTCCTGGTGGAGTCAAGAGCGGTGTACAAAATGACTGCTATCGAATTGTAGTCGCACGAGCGATGCCCTGGCAAGATGGTGGCACGAGAACTGAGTAGTTTGAAGGTACTTGAAAAAACGAATCCTGTTCGAACTGTATTGACCCTTTCTATATTAGACTTTATTGTTCCCTTCTCGGTTACATGATAGGGAAAGTGACTAGTTAAGACTAAGAGGCAGGTCAGTCCCATAAAGCAACCCTGACGGTATTATCCTTTTCAGCTTTGTGTGTTTATTGGCTTTGGCTATAATAAATTGGCTATAAATATATTTAGATATAGTTAAATACAGAGTGTTTCGTAACTTGTGGGACCCACTTCGGGAGCTGATTGTACGCCTAAAAATAATGAAAAAAAGTCATATATTTATATGTTCTATCTGTCTTCGTTTATGAGATATAATGAATTTTCTGTTTTAATTACTTTTACAAAAGATGCTCGAAACGACCACCTTGCATTTGAAGACAAGNCACAAATGAAAATCTAATGAATTCAAATCCGGAGAACGAGCAGGCCATGCAATAGGACCTCCACGACCAATCCATTTATTTACAAAGTGTTGATTTAAAAATTGTCTAGCCACTCGGCTAAAATACGGAGCTCTATCATGCATAAACCGCATACGAATAATCTAATATCGACTGGAACTTCCTTTAATATTTCGTATAAACGCGTGCTCAAAAAATCAACGTACTTTGTGCCTGTTAATTTCCCATCAAGAAAAAAAGGTCCATTAAATTAAAAATTTATCAATTATTCCTGCCCATACGTTTAAACTAAACTGGTGTTGATGTCTCGAATGCACAATAACATGTGGGTTTTCTTCATCACAATTATGATTATTATGAAAATTGAATGTACAATCCCTGGTAAAACTAGCTTACTAGAGTTTGCTCTGTTTATAAAATTCATTATGTCTCATAAACAAAGACAGATAGGACTTATATTTATCTGACTTCTTTTCATTATTTTTAGGCGTACAATCAGCGCCCGAAGTTACGAATCACCCTGTATATCTAATTACCAAGAAAATGTGAATATCATTTTGTTCATTCGGTTGCATTGCTGATACTCGACAAAAGGGCTGCACTTTCCACAATCATAAATAACGAAGAGAAATTCACCTACCGGGGAAATTACCCTCAAATTTTCAAGAAGGTGTCTCGAACAGCCGGCTGAGCGAAGCACACCCCGGGGAAGAACTTATTCATAAGATTATTTCCCATTTTCGTCATGACGCCGCGTTGTATCGTTATTTAAGTTTTATATTAAAGCGCACTCCTCCATCTGCCTGTGCTTTTTTTTTTTTTTTTTTTTTTTTTTTTCTTTGATGGACGAGCGGCGCGTGTCCTGCTTTCCTTCAACGGATTCGCCTAAACGTGAGATATCGCGCTCGATCAATTTTTCATGGGGCCGCGGAAAACTCCGGCTGCGTCCAACGGAATTTTCACCGCGACGTCAGGGAAAATTCGACCCGTCGCCGAGCCCGTTTTTCTTTATTACGAACGCGAGAACGGTGGTGGACGCTTTTTTCCCCCCCAAAGACTTTGAGTGATTTACAGTTTCTTAGTGAATAAATCCTTGGGTTGCAACTTGATACAGTTAATTTATTATTATTATTATTTGTGGAAGATTCTTGCAAGCTGTCGACAAATGAATACTTACTCATCTGCATCGCATTTTTCAGGTATCTGCGGCTTACCAAATCCCCAGAAAGCGGCGAATCTTCAGTGGAAAGATATCGAGACCGAAGACAAGGAGCCAAGCTGATTCCGTGGAAACGGCGAAGAATCCGGAGGCTCCGCTTTAATCAAGGTCGAATGTTCATTCTCCACGTCGACGGTCGGGCTATCAAATACAATCACCGAACGTGCGGCATCTTTTTCCTTTTTTTTCCCCGTGGCAGCAGCGTGCAGCGGCCGGATGCGCACGGTCCAACACACGGACACCGCAGGTCATACATACATACATACATACACACGCACGCACGCACATACACACCCTTTTCACCTAGCGGAGCCAGAGTCGATTCGTTCTCGCTCTCACGAATTGAATCCAGCCGGTGGTGGTGAAGCAGCTTCTGGAGGGAAGATGAAGGAGCGAGAGAAGGTTGCCCTGGCAACGACAGAGGGTTTCTCGATGTTGGTTGCCCGGGCAACCTCTAACCGGCGATCCCTAAATATGCGCCAGCAGGCCAGAAGTGGCGTGAAAGAGGAAGGGGAAAAGAGGGTGAGAAGAAGAGGTCGAGCCCGTAAGAAGAGGGAAACGGGGAGAATCGGGCTATGAGAGACAGAGACAGAGAGAGGGAGAGAAGATATTCTCGCCACTGGTTGGCAGAAGGAGCATACCGGTGGGTTGGTAACTGTTACCGCGGAAGGTGAGGAGACCCAGTTAATTACTAAAGCGTTTTAATCGTCGGCAAAGTTCCGACGGCACTCAGGAGTCTGGGCCAAAAGGGCTTCGGAGAATGCGGCGGCTGTGTAAATTAGGAACTCGCCAGTTTCCCTCTAGACTCTCTGCATGTACACGAGTTTCCCTGCCAAGGAGCAAACCGACAAGTTCTCGCGGCTCACGGTTCACGGACCGCCCGATGGATTAGATTAATTTGAACAAACACGATGTTTTGCGTGGATACGGGGGAAATTGGGAATGGAATACGTACTACGTACGTGGATGAAAGTAATTTTACGCAACGAATTAATTTTCTTGCAACCACCCTCTGTCGCTAATCGTTATATTTTTATTTTGCATTCCTGCAGTTCTCACGGCTCGCTTCAAGACGCACGATGGATTAGATTAATTTGGCCAGACACGATGTTTGCGCAGCATGGACACGAAGGAATTGGCAAAGGTAAACCGTACGATGTGGACGAAAGTAATTTGACGAATTAATTTTCTTGAAACCAATCTTTGTCACAACCGTTGTATTTTCAGGGAATTTTATTCAATCAAATCCACGTAGGACTCTGTTTGCGTAGGACTCTACTTCCCGGAGTAGTTGAAGCTCTGCTCCGTTCCGAAACGAGAAGACACGGAGTGTTGCAGACGACAGATGTTTAGCAAGCTGAAGATCTCCAAAGAAGCGAGGAGCTCCGACGTCGATCGGTCTCCCATGTTCGTCAAAATGGACGAGGACACGCCGGCAATCGAGCTGGCTCGACTGTCCCGCGTTAAATAACTTTGCTTAACAAGGTGCTGCCGCCACTGTAAAAAGATTACGTAAGCGGTAATGGCCGCCGGCTCCTCCTAAATTCGAGAACGAAGAGTTTCAGCCACGGAGTGCACCGAGTCGAGAGGCCAGGCGTGAGAAAGAGAGGAACGATAGAGGCTGAGGGGGAACAGAAATGGCGAACTGAAAAGGAGGAGGAGGCGGTGGAGGTGGCGGAAGTGTAGGAGGGAGGAGAAGCGACACGATGCACGGTGGCGGGGGTTAATTTTAATTTCCTAATTTTTCCCACCCCGAGGCACAGGTAATTTCCTCCCCAGAAGAGAATAGATGTAATTACTTAACGCCTCCGAGCTCTGAGCTCCTCTTATTAAAAGAGGATCGTGCCCTCGAGGGCTGGAGGGGTGGAAGATACTCCCCTGGTGGGGGGTGGGTGAGGAGTGGTGGAAGCACAACAATCGCCGGAGAACGATCGCGAAGAAAGGGAAACGTTGTCGGGCTCGTTCCCTCGAAGATGAACAATGGAACAGACCGAGTTTCTTCGTACTTTCGTCCGTCCCTAACTTTCCCCGGAGTCTCTGTCCTCTCCGTAATATACCTTTGCAAATTGGAATCCTTCGGAGGTGCACGGTCTGCGACAGTTTGCGAGTTGTTTGACAAAAGAAAAAGAAGAAGGGAAGAAAGAAAAGAAAGAGAAAACGGTGAAAGAAGAAAAAAAGAAGAAGAGAGGAGGATAGTTTTCACTGGTGGAGAAAAAAAGAAAGAAAAAAATTTGGAGTTTGGAGAAGAGTGCGTCTCTCGTTAGCGGAATTAGAGGCCAAGATCCGACGCTGCTGCCTAGGCTGCCTCCAACGGCAGGGGTGGTTTCCCGAGTGCTGTGGGGAAGGGAGGAGCCATCTTGTGGCTGCTTTCAGGGCAGCCACCAATTGATTCATCCCCACTGTGGCATCACCATTGCTGGAAGGAAGGGGCGTCGATTCAATTCCAGGGCAAAAAAACCGTCCACGAGGCGGAGTTCGCTCCGTAATCCATCCGTCCTCATTGGCCAGGAATAGAGTGGCACCCGTGAACCCACCATCTATCCGACCAATCCAAAGCCTCTGGGTGGTGACCCAAACCAGTTTAGCCTCCGTGGACAGAGGGGAGCCGTTGACTTCACTCTCCAGGCAGATAGTGCTGTGCCGTTGGCTCGTGCCGTAGTGGTCCTAACACTAACAGGTCCTTGCCAAGCAAGGAATCCCTGGAATCCGTTCCGTTTCGCGCGGTCGAATTTAACCCCACGGACCTGCCAATTTATACCATCCTCTAATCTCCTCGGCTAAGTGTTTTCGTGGCCGCCGACTGCGTAACCTGATAGGTCCAGGTGCGACGACTCCAAACAGTCAGCAACGAATAGTTTTTGACAAGTGTGATCCTTGACCAGTGCTTTCGTGGACCCTGTGCTTTCGACGACCCTGGTCCTGCTCCTACGTTGGTGACTGTCGCGGTTTGGTGAGCTCATTGGCAAAGTTGACGGAACGTGGACATTTGGGGTGAAGATTTGCTCCTGAGCCGAGAATCTGACTGATCTTTAATAGACTGTCGACGAGAGAGAAGGTTACAGTGACACTGGAGTGATAGTTCACGGAGACTGTACTCGCAAAAGGAACCAACGAACTCTCAAAATACGCGTACGATGAAATCCTGCCCGACTGAGTCGATGGCGTCAAGTTCCTTGAGATTTGCGAGAAAAATCGCCCAAGATTTTAGATAGATCAGACTGACGCGTCAAAGTTGAAAGTAGTTGCAGAAGAAAGAATTTGCGCTGATGGAACCATGGTCGAAGGATTTTTCCAAAGAATAGACAAGAAACTCGGTTGATGTTGAAGGAATTCCCGAATCACGCCTTCCGACGGCTGCCGCGAACACGTTCACTCTGCGCAAAACCAGCGTGCCCATCTCCGCGAGTTGTCAGTCTTCGACAATGATGATCAATCTCGCCATGTATGTCTAGAGATATCCTCAGACTCAGATTCTCCTCGCGATAAACCTCGAAACTACTTGCACGTAAAATGTAAACGAAAGGTTTTTCTCGGTACGTCGTCGAAAACCTCTCGGTTCGGGTGACCAGTGAAGGAAGAACTTTTGGAAGAGCTGTCGTCGACGAAGATTTGTCGATTCACATGAAGTTGATGGAACCACGTCGATTGTCGAGAGTATAGCGTAGCATCGGGGGATCGAGCAGTGAAGGGGACCTGCGCATAGATGCAAAATAAGTGAAATCTCTCCGGCGGGGAGGCAACCAGTCGTCAAGTTGGTCCCAAACATGGTCCTGGAACCAGGAGGTGGTCTGTCCTTCCCACTGCCTCCTGGTAGCGGCTCCGCTGGTTCCGGTGGTTCCCTTCTGACTCCGGCCAGACTGTTCCAGAGGGCGACACCGGTGTTTCCGTTTCACCTGACAGGATGGCCACCGCATCATCCGGTCCTCGGACAGGTTCAAAGCCAAGTACAACAAACGATGCAGGCTCAGCACCAGGCAGCCGCCGCCGCTGTCAGGTTCCTCAGTCATCATCATCCTCATCACCCGCATCCGGCACTGGGGAACCACCCCCTGGTGCCGGCGATAACTAGCCACCATCCGACCGCCCATCATCTTCATCACGGCGCCGATCATGCCGACGAGGATGACGAGAAGAAAGGTAAGTGGCCTTTTTTTTTACCCCGCTGCACTTCAATCTCCGGCTAAACTGCTTGGAATAACCGAGCGCAGCTGTGAACTATCGCCGCGAGGATGCGGATGGTCGGCCACCGTTTCTGCTTGGCCATCTTTGCTTCTCAAAAGTTCTCCTCGCGAAATTAATTCCTGGACGGTGCTATCGGACTGAACGACCGGTTTTAGATTTTCTGTTACCAGTCCAGTCTATGTAGTTTCAATCTAATTGGAAAAGATCGGCACATCATCCTTGGATATAACTATTGAAGGTCGATCTTTCAGATCGATGCGGGCGTTTCTTCGACGATCGATACTTTTGGAGTCTCGGTTTGAATCTTTTATTCTTTTTTTTTGTTGCTCGCGTTATTGTTAGACCGGTTATTGCCTAACCGGCGTTGTTCCAAGCCTACCTAGTATTTATTTACGGAGAAAAAAGAAAAACTGTTCAAAGAATATATCTGATCTACTTTCGGACTAAATTGAAACTCAATTTTCGAATTCATTGCCACGTTCCCTCGCCGCGATAGTTTGCATACTTATGGCACACGATAAGCAGCAATTTTGAGGCAAGTAAGATAGCGAGCCTGCGAGTTAACTCGCTACTTTGTTGCTTGATTTACAACGTGAATCAAACCGCGTGTTTCTAATTCTCGTATCTTTAATCTTAATTTACATTAATAAGATTAAAAACTGGTCTCTGTACATGTGCTTGATAAAGCGCCAACAGGTTCACAGGCTCTCATATTCCTTTGCCAGTTGGTTCCTTGGACTTGCTTCTCGTGAGAATGGTTCTCGTTATAGTTCCCTACGTGTTTCTCGTAGGTCGAAAATTTTCATTTCAATAAAACGTCAAGAGGAGGGACTCGATCTTTTTCTTCGTCGCCGCCTCCCGGTTATTAACGCGTATGCAACGCGCGCCGCGGCAGCAAGAGCAAAAACGTAGCTTGAAATTTTAACGCGGACACGACGTAGTATTATTTCTACGTAATAAACGCGAAATAATTTCACCCATTACGACACACGCTATCCTACGGTTGTTCGCGTTATATTTTCCTCGTTGATGCATTACTCAGCTGAACGTTTTGCACGGTGACACGAGCGTATTATTGTTAAGCGTCTGTGCCGCGACTCGCGGCCAACTAATTATCACACGCTGGAATAATTCATAATAAGTAAATACGCGGGAGTATCTCCTGTTAATTCTGAACAAACGCAATGCTCCGTGGAACCAGTTTGCTCTTGAAACCACACCACGGACAGTCGAAACATCAAAAGATCTCGCGTTCGAAATCCAACAGTCGTTTGGTTCTTGTTCCTTTTTCTTTTCTTTTCTTTTCTTTTTTTCTTTCTTTTTCTTTCTCCTCCCCCCCCGGCGAACTTATTTCCGAAGATACGTTCGGAAAAATGGTCTATTGGGAGTGTCGTAACACGGTCAATCATAAGATCGTTGCTGACGAGCCCCTGGGATCGCTTACAGGGTTAGCCCCAATCCGCAACGCCCTTTTTCCACCCTTCCTTCCGAACTGTCGGCCCTGAAATCACGTCTCGCGTGTACGAGATCGAGGGTGGAAATCTGTTTTTTACGTGATCCCATTCATGTCCCTAACGCTTGTTTATGCCTGGAAGGGAGCGCCGCTAAAGCTTCGTCTCCTCTGTTCTTGCTTCGTCGAAGGAAACTCGCGTGAAACCCGGTGGCGATCTTGACCATCGCGCTCTCGCTCGTACGATTTCTGCTTTATTTATCGATGGCGGGTGACTCGCCGTTTTAGAAAATGCTGCGTCGTAGATTTACGTGCGTTCATGTAGCTTCCGAGGCAGACTGTTCCCTTTATTTGTTTTTTCCTTCGGAGGTTTTTGTTCCCAGAGTTTTGAACGATATTCCTCGCGCGAACGCTTGGCAGTTCCTTCTCCGCCGCGACGCAGAATCTTTATTAGTCGTCAATTTTTGTCTCGTCGATTTGCGTTTGACAAAGCTTTCCTCGTTGCTATAATACACGCACCGAGTACTCCCCGCTACGATTACTGCGGTTTTTCTGCACGCGTGTCATTATCTTTTCAACCAGCTGCGAATATTCACGGAATGGGTAGTCAGTCCTACAAATGCGTAGACATCAACGATCTATTAATCAGTAGAGCAAGTGTATCTCTTTCTCTTCGCACCTCTTACATCTCTTAAGAAAGTTACAAAATAATTTGCGATTATTGCACTGGAAGGACGATAACGACCTCAGTTATTTTAAACTCAATTTTCAAAGAGAAGAAGAAACCGCATTAATCACATTAATGATCCAATAGCTTTTATCTAAAAATAAATCGACGTCTCGGAACGAAACGAACGTTCCGAGATAATTCAGCGTTCGAAGAGATCCGAAAAAGGAAAATGAACGATAAACGAGTCGCTTAAGTGATGCTTGCAATTCATTCGAGCATCTTCGTATCACGCGATTGTGATTCTACTAAAAAAAGACAACGACTTCGATTATTCTAGTAAATTCAATTTCCAAAAGAAGAAAAAACTGCGACATTTCGAAATAATTCAAAGTTAAACAAATAAAAAAGGAGAAAAAGAGAGAGACAACAGAATTGCTCAAGTGATACTTGCAGTTCTTCATATCGTACGATTTTTCAACGCAAAACATGACTACGACTTCGGTTATTCTAGATTCAATTTTCAAAAGAAAGAAGAACAGAAAAAACCGCGTTACTCGCAGAATGGCCCAATAGTCGTGAAATAAATTGACATCTCATAACGAAACGAATGTTCCGAGATAATTCAACGTCAAACAAATTCCCTCCTCTCTCCCTGCCACTAAAAAAAAAAAGAAGAAAAAGAAAAAAGAAAAATTCGTTGATAGAATGGCCTAAGTGATACATGCAATTCTTTCGAGCGTTTTCGCAGCACACGACGGCGCGGTTAAAAATACTCGTCTTTCTAATTTCGCTAATGGGCCCGGCCAGCGTGGGCAAGCGCACGTAACAAGCGAACTGCATGTGCGCAACCTAACTAATGAGTTCCGCGAGTGTTGAACGTAGCGCTGTTTAAGATAAACGTGTCACGTCTGACAGCCGTGAGAGATCTGCTCCTCCGTGAGCTCGTCTCATTTCCTCTCTTCTTTTTCCTCTCCGTATCTCCGAGCGTCCTCCGCTATCTTCGTGTCTCGTACTGAATTTATTGGCCATCGCAATCAATTTTGAATAATCTCTGGGAATCAATCCAGTCTTCTTGCAAATGATCGCCCTTTGCAAACGAGATTAAAGAACGTTGAAAAGACACGAACCGTATGGAAGACGAGACAGTGTCTCAGAGAGAGAGAGAGAGAGAGAGAGAGAGAGAGAGAGAGAGAGTATTAAAACATTGGAGAATATGCGCTACTTGCAAACGATTGGTGTCGTAATTTCACTCGGTGCAACGTACCATTACTTTTTTGCTCCTTCCCTCTTTTTTTCTTTCTTCTTCTCGACGTCGAATACCAGCTATCGTTCTAGACGATATTTTAACTCGCGCGTAATTGATAAAATGATATAATAGAGTAGAAAGTACCAGACCCGGAGAAACTGGTAAACTATCGGGGAACGTTGGCTCCCATCGACATTTAACTAGACGGGGGAGTAATCGAAGTTCGGTACGTCGATAATCGCCGATGGTTTTATTGTTGTGCACTGCCTCACGTTTCATCGTCCTCGTTTCTCGTCGATTTTTCCCCGGGAATTACATGGAATTTTGTATATCCGATCTCCTACGAGCAATTAATGTCCGGGAGGAGAGACTGTTCACGACGAGTAATTATATCGTGAACTGATTATAGTCCGCGCGCGGAGAGTTATTGAGTTATTTGAAGTAATAAGGATAGCTCGAGGAAATTGATCGGTTTTCGTGGAATTGTAATTGGAAGGCTACTCTTTTTTTTTTTTGCTGACGGGCCACTGTTTCATACACGTGAATTTATTTTTATATTTATTATCCTCTTTTTTGCCGAGTCTCTCTCTCTCTCTCTCTCTCTCTCTCTCTCTCGTGGCCATTCTTTTAAATTTATCTTTCAGTCTGCAATTATTATACGAAAAATATTATTCATCTCCTTGGAAATATTATCTGAGCAAGGTGACATTATCTTACGACATTGATTTCCATCTTGTTCACTCGAGGATAATTTTAATTCATTTTAATTCACTCTAAATTTGACACTTCATCCCTGTCATCTATTTTCAATCGACGATCAATGGGTCATCGATTTCCATCTCACGAATGGAATGGTTTTGATTCACAATTCTCTTGATTCACACTTGAAACTCTGAAGTACGACCATACCTTGTCATTGTGCAAGAGAATTTATTAATTCTAACAACGTCGTGACTCTCCAAATTTCGCCAACAACAAATTGCGCAAGAGACACGCTCTTCCTTCATTTTTTCTCGACATTCACTTCAACGTTCCTCCAGTATGTGTGTGCGTGTGTGTGTGTATGTTTAAAAATTCCTTCGCTCTCGGTATTTCGCGTATTCGAAATCATTAGCGGCCGTGCAACAGCGGATCTAAATCGTGTTTAGGAAACCGCGGCTCTAAATCAACGCGACGGTACCCGATACTCTCGCGGACCCTCGCGCCTAATCTATTTTAAACCGTGCCATTTAATTGTCGCTGTTCAACAAGCCACGAAACGCGGAACGTGCGGAAAGTCGCGCAAATTGTTTTCAGCTTCTCTCTGTATACGCCTGATCTCGCGACGCGTCACGTGTGTTTCCTTGGTTAACTTTAATTGACTCCACCTCGTTCGTCGGTCGACGATTTCGTTGTTCAATCTTGATCGCGAAATTTTCTCGCCAAGACGACGATCGAACAAAGCCGATTTTTTCTTCGCGACATCATCTTACAGCATTGATTTCCATCTTGTTCACTCGAGAATAATTTTAATTCATTTTAATTCACTCTAAATTTGACACTTCGTCCCCCGGAAAAATTTTAAAAAATTCACAGCATCGTCAAATATC